GCTACCACTAACTGTTTGCTGACGCGTGCGTTCATTTGTCGCGCACGCTCTCAAATTTTCCCGCGTGCAATTTCTCTGCGTGGCGGCACTTCGCAAATATTTCTGATCTTCGATTAAGAGGTTTATTTGCCTTTAAAAGGCACAGTTTTTCTTCAGTGCACAAACTGCAGTGCTTTCCACCTGCCGAATACGATGGAGCTCGTTTCAAGATTGACAACTTGATTCCGTAATCTTTCCCAGCGTTCTTTAATTTCCATAGGTATTTGGAAAGTTCCGTGTCATATATTCATATCTTTTGTGCTTGAACGATTTTATGCGGTTTCGATATCTAACTTTGAAATTGTTTGCCGTCATTCCGATGTATTCCTTCGTTTCGCGATCTTCCTTTGTTTTTATCTCTGCCTTGTGGACTAAACCTTTTGTTAAACACTTTTTCTGGAGTGGGCATCACTAGGGATTTGGCAATCACACAATTTGCTTGGGCTTTCGATTGGCTCGGCTTTCGCCAGAACGCGCTTGTTGTGTCTGGAAATAGAACTTTTAACATTTTCCATGCAGCTGTAGCTGACTTTGATGGAGTTACGGTTGAAGATCTTGTGAAGGGGGTTTGCTTTCGGAAGGGGGTTTGCTTCCCGAGCAATGTTTGTACAAACATTTTTGCTAAAAGGAGGGTTGAACCAGATGATGTTTCTTTCACGTTTCCGTTTCTGGGTTGTAGTTGATGGAGGATTATCAGGGGAATATTCGAGCTTGCCGTTGTAATTACTCTTGTGCAGAGCTTTTTCATATATGTTGGCCACGGAGTCAAAGGCTAGTTCACTAAATGACAGAGACGAGATTCTTCGGTTAATCGATGCCGGTAGATGTTTAGTAATGGAGGGTGGGTGATTTGAGCGTTTGTCTATATATATAACGGATTATTGTCTGGTTTCCTGTATGGTGAGTAACTGCCGTCTTTAAGATTAAAGGTTACATCCAGGAAATTTACCAGTTGATGATTTACTTCGGCTGGGATTCTCAAACCGAATTGAAGAAATTGGGCACAAAGGTCTTTCTTTGCTTTGTCTGCTAATCTACCGCTGGTGCTTTGAATTAGTGCCAAACCATCATCACGGTACAATCCGATGTTTTCTTTACCAAATTTCTTAGCGAGTGTATTTAATGCAAATAAACCTAATTGGTTTATTTGCATTAGCTAAATACACTCGCTAAGAAATTTGGTAAAGAAAACATCGGATTGTACCGTGATGATGGTTTGGCACTAATTCAAAGCACCAGCGGTAGATTCGCAGACAAAGCAAAGAAAGACCTTTGTGCCCAATTTCTTCAATTCGGTTTGAGAATCACAGCCGAAGTAAATCATCAACTGGTAAACTTCCTGGATGTAACCTTTAATCTTAAAGACGGGAGTTACTCACCATACAGGAAACCAGACAATAATCCATTATATATAGACAAACGCTCAAATCATCCACCCTCCATTACTAAACATCTACCGGCATCGATTAACCGAAAAATCTCGTCTCTGTCATCAAGTGAACTAGCCTTTGACTCTGTGGCCAACGTATATGAACAAGCTCTGCACACGAGTAATTACAACGGCAAGCTTGAATATTCCCCTGATAATCCTCCACCAACTACAACCCAGAAACGGAAACGTCAAAGAAACATCATCTGGTTCAATCCTCCTTTTAGCAAAAATGTTCGTTCAAACATTGCTCGGGACTTTCTAAGATTACTTGACAAGCACTTTCCGAAAGCAAACCCCCTTCACAAGATCTTCAACCGTAACTCTATCAAGGTCAGCTACAGCTGCATGGAAAATGTTAAAAATTGTATTTCCAGACACAACAAGCGCGTCCTGGCGAAAGCTGAGCCAACCGAAAGCCCAAGCAAATTGTGTGATTGCCGAATCCCTAGTGAATGCCCACTCCAGAAAAAGTGTTTAACGAAAGGTGTAGTCTACAAGGCCGAAATAAAAACAAAGGAAGAGCGCGAAACGAAGGAATACATCGGAATGACGGCAAACGATTTCAAAGTTAGATATCGAAACCACAGCCTCGTACCCAGGCTCTTTAGTAATTAATAGCGTTCAGAGCTCTGGGTGAGCTAGGCGCGCGGGGATTCTTGGGGAGGTTGCGGCAAGGAAGGGAAGAGCCTGGGAGATTTTGACCGATATCTGAATAATCTCGACCGACTTCTGAAGAATCGAAGATATTGCAAAGTTTTAGCTGCTTTTCTCGAATTTTTTTATTTGACATTCGTCATTGCTGATTCTATGGGTACTATAGAGTGAGTATAGACGAATATTTTCAGGAAGAACCGTCTGGAGGTAAGTTTATTGGTAAGTTTATATTTTGCCGTGGAATGCGAGGTGGAATGTATATTAAATAATTTGCTTTGTTGTCGTTCATGGCTATGTTAAAGTTATAAAATTAGCTCAAACATGTGTCTTGTGTTTGCAGAATTATCTGATGACGAGCTTAACACCCGAGTCAAAAGCTGCTGCCGATTCGAAACCCAAACGATTTGCAGGTCTGTTAATTTATGTACATGACAATACTTTATTTGTCACTATATCTTTCAAACAAATAGACCATTTTCATAATTTAGACACATTTAAATATTCTTTTATCTATAGCCTTCTTGCCCTTGTTTAGGTTCAAAAATTCTTCACAATTCCAGCCATAGAAACGAGGCCAAGAGGGCTTATTAAGATGACATAAAAGAATATTTAAACTGGCCTCAATCATGAAAGTGGTATCACAGGGGGCCCCACTATGAGTTATGATTGAAATAATATTGTATTTATTTTTAAAAACCTACTTGACCCCCTGTGGTGGTATATGACAGTATTACTGTTGATTTCAAATAACTTTTACTGGAATGTTTCGAACTTTGCAACTTTGTTGTGAAGTTCAAAAGTTCATAATAAAGTTCATATGCAAGTTTGTAAACAAAACATAAGATTGGCTACTAGAGACATAGTAGCCTTGCAATCAAATGTTTAGTTTACCAACAGGTTTGTGAATCACATTATGAACTTTTGAACTTCAGAATTAATTTGCACACTTCAAAACAAAGTTCAGAACATTTAGTGAAAAAATATTTAAAATTTTACTTATTTTACTCTGTCTAATGCCTGATGATTTTTTCTCAAGGGATGATTCTTGTGTCTTAATGGAGTTAATTGTATACAGATGGGTTT